GATATTCTTCTAGAAGCTGCTGTGGGTGTTTCACGTTCAGCAATTATTCTAGAATCTCTGTTGGGTTTAACTCGTTCAGAAAACCTTATAGAAACAATCTGGGGCACAAAACGTTGTGATTGTTTAGTGGACCTCTGAGTTGCCAGTCGTTCTGTTGAGATTTCTCTAGAATCTTTGACAGATGTCAAATGTTCAAAAGATTCCCTAAAATATCTCTGAGCTTCCAGGTTTCCAGTAGAAGTTTTCCTTGGGTCCCTGAGGTTTGTCAAACGTTCAGCCGATCTGGAGTTTCTCTGAATTGTTAGACGTTCCACTGAAGTCCTAGAATGTCTGAGAGGTGCAGAAATTCCCTTGGAATTCCTCATAGATTCCAAATATTCAGTAGATCTGCTATAAACTTTCTTTGGTGTCAACTGTACAGTAGAAATTATTCTGGATTTGCTGACGTCTGCTAAACGTCCAGCAGATCCAGAATCTTTCTTGGATCTCAGTCGCTCAGTGGATGTCCTGGGCTCCCTAACAGAGCTGTCTGACTGCCTTTCATATGTTGGTCGTTGAACAGAAACCCTTCTGGAGTTTCTGAGAGGTGCCAAGTGTTCAGTAGACCTAGAATCCCTTTGTTTTGCAAGTTGTTCACCAGAAATTATCTTTGAACCCCCGAGAGTGGCTAAACGTTCAGCATACATCGTTCTGGAATTTTTGAGAGTTGATGCTCTTTCTTCTGAACTTCTGCTGAGACTCTGTTGTTTTGCAGATTCAATTACGTTTCTATTTCTAGAAATTGGCATCCCTGTAAATCGGCGTCTTATGCTACCACCACGAAGAGCAGTTTGTCTTGAGAGCAGTTTCTGCCATTGCATTAAGATTCTTTCATTGGACGTAGTTCTTGAAGCAGTGAACTCAGATGATTGCCTGGAAACAGCATGATGTAGTCGCCTGTCTGAGGGACTCCCAGAAACTGGCCTTTCACTTCCAAAGAGACCATATGTGGTTGGAGACGTTCTTGAATTAATTCGTTCCTCTGAGATACTAATAGCTAGTGTGGAATGTATTGTTGACATTCGATCAGGAGAAAGTCGTCGTTCTTTGGCTGCTCTGAATAAAGCACGATGTCCAGACAATTCCGACAAAAGAGGTTGCCTTTCACGATTTAATCTTATCTTGTGCCATTCTTCAGATGCAAAGTTTTCCTGAGATAAATGTTTGTTTAATGATATTCGGTTCAGTGCTGCCCTACGTGAGGAGGTTCTTTCATTGGAAATTACATTAATTCGATTGTCTGCAATTCTGAATGCAGTAATGTGATCATTTGACTTCTGAGGTGGTGACAGTCTCGTCCTAGGAACTGTAGAAATTGCAGAAGCTTCTATGTGATTATATGAAATTCTTGAGGATAATCTGTCATTGGATGTTCTTACATTTTGATGATGTGCTAATATTCTAGAAACTGATTTGGAAGATTGTGTCTCATTTTGCTTTTGTTTGGAGTACAAAGATGATAAATGTTGAACTGAGGGAGCTGAATGAAATAATCTCTTATGAGATATCCTCACATTTTGGCGTTCTTCAAATGGCATGCCATTTGCGGAACTTCTGTACGTCATGCGGAAGGATCGGAGCATTCTGGAATCACTGCGACCAGGTGAAATCCTGGAGGAGATGCTTCTGGTTGTGCTGCGGATGGTATTCGTTCTGTCGGGATCAATTGTTTTTTCAGCAAAGCTCTTTTTAACGCGCTGACTTTCAGATCGTCCAGTTCCATGTCGTCTAGAAGATGACCTCTGTGCATTAATTCTTCCTTCTTCTGTCTGCATGCGTCTTGAACTTGATCGTTGCTGAGAGCCGAAATATTCAGTTGAACTCCAGCTTACTTCAGCTCGTTCAGATGATATCCTTGTCAAAGAAGTTTTCCTAGAGTCATCTTGGGGGCTATGAGAGTGTCTACTTTCAGAGAAACTTCGTTCTGAAGATACCCTAGACCCAGATCGCTCTTCAGAAACTCTGTCTGATGTTGTTAGTCTTCGAGAAGATTGTCTTTCAGTAGATACTCCCCTAGTTTGGTCGAATTTGATAATCGTTTGTTCTGATAGCTTTCTCTTTGATAACCCTCTTTTCTCTGATGTCCTAGATGCGTGGGGCACGCTTATTCTGCGTTCAGTTGACATCCTCCCTTCAAATTGCTGTTCACCTGGCAGTTTACTAGTTGTATCAGACTCGTAGATTTTACGATCAGTTAACTTCCTTGGAGAACTTCGTCTTTCATTTGATATCCTAGAAAAATCTAATTCGGTTGCCCTGTGGTCAGCAGAAAATTGTCTGGAATGCTGACTGTCAGGTAGCATTCTCCTGGACCCATAAACTTCAGGCGTCCTTCTTTGCATTGTTGTTCTTTGGTGAGCCTGCCTTTCTCTTGGTATTCCCCTAGTAACATCTGCTTCAGCTAAAGATCTGCGCCCAGGAGTGGTTTTGCTAGACGATCGTCTTTCTGTCGATACCCTTCTCATTGTCTCTACCTCTGATATTCTTTGGGAAACTGTCTTCTCAGCCATCCTTCTGGGTACATCACGTTCTGTGGGCAGAGCCCTCCTGGTATTATCAATTTCTCCTGAAGCAGTTCTCTCAGAACTTTGCACAGCCAATAAAGTTCGTGTTGACAATCTGTGTCGGTGCTGAGAAATACCTGCTCCAAGGTTTTCCTCAGGAACTTGGCGTCGTTTCAGTGATCTATACTTCATCTGACGTCGAGGAGTTTGAGTTTTTAGAATTACTGCAGATGGGTCTTTCGAACGAGCTGCCAAGAGCCTTCTATGAGAGGTCCTAGTGTACCGTGTGGCTGATTCTGGATGTCCTTGAGTGTTCCCTGCAGGGCGGTGTTCCACCAAACAGGTGTTCTCCAGTTGGAATACATCAGCAGAAGAGCAGATATTGTCATGTCCATTGTTCGGTGAAATGGTCCGAGTCATCAGTTGATCCTTCCAGCGGTTTGCACATCCTCCTTCCCCCGGATCCTCCGGTGGGCTGCAGAAAAAGAAACCTCTTTGGTACTAACTGGTCTCCAGATTGATATTTGACCCCCGTTCTCTTGAATACAAAGCAAGAGTAGTGTCCAGTATGTAGCTATGCAAGTTTTTGTAATTCAAATCTAAAACTTCTTGACGATGGTGAAGAGTCAATTGAATAAAAATTTTCTTTGATATTATCCATCGTCTAGTAAATATAAAACGTAAAACGACGTTTCGGAGATGCGACTCTATCTCCGTCTTCAGGTTCCTACACAGTTGGGTCCGGAGTTAGGGATTAGCTCTATCTAGTGGGCCCAACTGTGTAGGTACCTGAAGACGGAGATAGAGTCCCATCTACGAAACGTCGTTTTACGTTTTATATTTACTAGACGATGGATAATATCCAAGAAAATTTTTATTCAAGTTTTTGTAAATTGAAGGAAGAGACTTGCTTTTGATGTTTTGTTTCTTCATTATTTACGTAAGTGCGTAGTTAGCTATCGATCTGTATATCATTCAAGTCTCATATAAAATATGTTCTTGTGTTGCAACGTGTAATGAGATTGTGCAGAATGTGTGCATGCTGTCTGGACACAGCACATCCGAATTTCAGAGCCCCAGTAATATTAAGAGTCTATCACATATGTTTACAATCATTTGGAGCATACATCCATGCCTTCGATGGGATTCGAACCCGTCGTTCCATTGACCGCGCAGCCACTGTGGACTTGATAGATGTATCAAAATAATAAGAAAGTAATTTAATTAGTAGACCTGTTACTTGTAGCACAATATCGCAAACTTTGGTGTATCCCAGGTCTTGATATGTGCATTTAATTAATTCAGGATTGGGCTACACGCGAATTGTCAATGAAAATGCCAAGTAAGCCTGTGCGTGCCAGAGATCCTGTTATCGTCAGCCACACAATATCATAAGAATACTATGTTGGACCATGTCCACTAGCTAGCTCTACTGCTGTCTTCAGCGAAAGGGTTTAGCAGACTAGCGTAGTATTTAGAAGGTCCCTGGTTCTTTCCGCACAGTTGTCACTAACATCAAAATGAAAACTGGTGAATCTGTGAGTATAATGACAGTCAGATAACCTAACACTTGAGCAGAGCCAACTTTTGATGATTTTTCTTTTGAATGTAGATCTGTTAAGGGTCTTGAAATCTAATTGTTCAGGAAAGTGACGTTTTTATTTCTCGCCGTGGTTGTCGTGTCTGCCACATGTTGGATGCTGAAGGTTAGTATGATCGACTCGAGAACTTCATGGATTTTTGTACCGGCAGTCTAATTGAGCTTGTTATTTTAAGATTTTGGCCAAATCCTGGGCAGATCATACTTTTACAGTTACGTGGTGTGATCAGGACCACTGATTTTGAGTGTCTCACCGCGCGACCGTTGTCATCGTGTGCCTAAACTTTCTTAGTCTTTTCCGAATATCTGAAGAAAATATTTACTTACAAGTTCGATTCACGTATGTATCGACAGGAGACACAAAGAACGTACAAAGATTTTTTTAGCGTTGGTACATCTGGAATTTCATACTTCTGGTTTGATTGTAAACAAGTTGATTTAATTCTATGCTTTGAACAATGATTTCAAATTATGATTATATTTAGATTTTTAATTTTTTTTTAAATATTTTTTCGATTTTGTTGATACAAGTACGTTTTGTTCTGATATCAAATTATGAGGCATTTTTCTTTAAAAAGAGGGACGCCTCACTTGGTTTTGTTGCGAATTGGACGAGGAGTGTACGAAATTACCTGGAACAGTATTGCAATACTTGCAGCTGGAGGGAAGATGCCAATCCGCTGTCCGGTTGGCCTCGAGACATCTCCGCCAAAAGGGGACACGCGAGGTA